GTCACATGATATACATGTGGGAGAAGGCTGATGTTTATGCAAGAAGTTTGGGATGATACCTGGTTTGTGAAAGCAGTATAAAAGCATTGTATCCTTGAAAAAAGTACAGAATGCTGGGAAATTTGGGCCCATTTTTCCACATTGTCATCAGGTTTGCAGATGACAACAAATTAGAAGACTGGTTGATAGAGTCAGTGGAGCCTGCTCTTCAGAGAGACAGACAGGCTGGAGAGAAATGTGCTGAAACAGTAAAGCACATGCTTCAACAGATGAAGTCCCTTTCAGCAGGGCACGTAAAAAGAAAACCAAACCAAGGGAGAAGATAGAAAATACAGTGTAAAAGAGCATCTATCAAACTACATTGGATTGTTGTTGGAATCCCACAGCAGTCTGTGTAGTTCAGAACTTTCATACGTGGTATGAAAAAGTGATACATATACAGCTGATAAAGTTTATTAGTGATACTAAATTATTTATTTAATTGGTGGTAGTAAATATGAACTTGACAGCTAACAGTTCTCTTGATCAGTGACCTCGAGGAGGCAACAGAATGCACTCTCGTCAGGTCTGCAGAGGACAACAAATTGGAGGATAGATTGATAAACTCAGCAGCACATCTGCCATTCAGAGAGACCTAGTCAGGCTGGAGAAATGTGCTGAACGGAACCTTGTGAAATTCAACAAGGATGAATGCTGAGTCCTGCACCTAGGAAGGAAGAGCCCCTGGCAGTGAGACAGGTTGGGCACTGGCAGCCCAGGGAGCAGTGCCATGGAAGGGAGCTGGGCATCCTGATGGAGAGCAAGCTGCGCGTCAAGCTGGCAGCGCGCCCTGGCAGCAAAGGCCAACAGCATCCTGGGCTGTTGGAACACGAGTATGATGTGTGAAGAGCAGTAAATGAGGGAAGTTTTTATCCCCTGCTACACAGCAGACCACATCTAAAATACTGCAGTTTTGCACACCTCCCCACCCTTGCCAATACAGGAAAGATGACAGCAAACTGGAGCGGAGGGACATCAGGATGCTCAGGAGCCTGGAGCACCTGACCTGTGAGGAGAAGCTGAGGGAACTGTCTTGTTCAGTCTGGAGAAAAAGTAGGCTTTGGGGAGGATCTCCAGGTAGCCTTACCATACCTATAAGGAGACCTACCACAAGGACAGGCTAGCTGTTCACAGTGGTGCATGGCAGGAGGATGAGCCATAATGGATGTGAGAGATTCCAACTGCAAATAAGAAAAATACTTTCACTGTGAGGACAGCCAAGTGGTGGAGAAGTTGCCCACAGAGCCTATACAATCTCCGTAATACATAATATTCACTATCGTGAGCTGTAAATTAGCTTTGCCACTTAAGAAAAGAGCTGTGAGTAATACTGTGATTAGTTTTCTGAAAACATTCAATGCACAGCCATAGTCAAAAGGTAAGCAGGAATTATTAGGATCGTAAGAAAATGGAAAAGATTATGTCATCGTCTAGATTTGTGGTGATCTCACATCTCCAATTCTGCATATAATTTTAGATTACATCATCTCGAAGGATGAAGTAGGGTGAAGCATAATGTGGAAAGGATGATCTGAAGTATGGAAGTTCTTCCATACAAAGGAAATTTACAACTTTTTTGTTGGGAAAGGATATTACAAAAACCAGATATTAGAGGTCTGTAAAATTACGGATGGGAAAAAGATGATTTAGGAAGGATTGTTTGCTGTCTCTCAGAAGCATTCCTACATTAGCAGTTAAATCAGCCATAATAGACAGAGCAAATCAATTGGTGCTGAAGGCCAGATGTCCATATTTGCATTTTAGAGAACAGAGACAACTTACTTCCAATCCCGAGGGCTGAATGCCCATTAGTGGTTGGAGTATATTACTGGAACATACAAGAGCTCTTGGAGCTCATCTCCTGGTTTAGTTTCGCTTGAAAGGAAATCAATTTATTTGCTCTAAGACTACTCCACCAAGGGACACAAAGGCCCATAGGTGGGGCAATATGATATCTGGATCAAAAGTATGCACAGTCACATGTAAGGAAAGAAAGTCTTGTCATTGCTGTTTTAACACATTGTTCTGAGCCCAGCTTCCAAAGCACTGGCAACCTAAGCTGCTGGTTGCTGCAAGGGCACATATGGGAAGGTGTCAGGCTGTACTTGCCTTTTTTCTTGTAGTCTTTCAGTAGCTCTGTCTGCTGCAGCTTATAATCAGAAAGAAGAGATTGCATCAAAATAACCTTGGTACATCTCATTACCTAGGAACACTTGTTCTTAGGTAATTTAATTTTACATGAACACTTACAATGTAAATGGTTATTACAGCTTGCATATTATTCTTTTGGGAATTTTCTATTTTAAAAAATATTTTTAAAATTTTCTATCTATTTTTAAAATTTTCTATCTCATATTCTTTAGTCATAGCAAAATGAGGTCAGACAATTTATAACATTTATTAATATTTTTAATTGTTTATAGTCCTATTTTGAGTATTGCTAGTACCTCAAAAGGAGATTGCAAGAACTTTGGCAGGGACTCATGTAACAGATGTGCCTCTTGATGCTCTGGTGAGAATCCTTTATGATTTGCATGCTTTGGAGGGTATAAAAGTGTGATTTGCACACGACATTGTTTTTATTATCTAGTAACAGGTTTCCACTAACAGTCTGCCAGACTCGGCTGGCACTGTGCATGCATATTCATGTGATTTGAGTGGAAGTTCTTGTCCAGAGCATAGCAGCACAGACATGCCCAAAAAGTTAAGTAAAATAGATGTTTTAACAAATCATCAAGTAAGATAAGAGTTTCTTTTTTTAAAACGAACACATACATTAGAACTCCTTTAGAGGTTCCTCAGCTCTTCTGTTTCATAATTCAAACCCCTGCTCCATGTTGCTGTACAGTTTCTGAGGAGCTCTACAGCCCTCAGTTTTATGTGCAGATGGCTAGAATCAGACGCAGAGACATAGCTTATTTCCACTCTAGCTGGAGAGACAGACATGAGGTATTTTTCATGTCAGAATTTATTAAAGACAGTAGTCACATATGGATCATATAGGGTTTCTAAATCTGATCCTTGGTTTCAGTACTGTATGCAAGTTTACTTGGTAAAACACTTCAGGGAAAAGAAACGATTCTTGTTCTTCGTTAGCCTCTGTTAAGTCCTAGAATTCATTTTACAGAATAGTTGTACTATTGACGTTTTCAGCTGAAGCTTTATCAATTTACAGATAGTAAAAAAGAGACTGTTTCAGCAGCGGAATTGAAATTATCCATGATTGGTTGTCAACTTTCAGTAGTTTTACTCACACTCAGGGAAGCCACAGGGATTACACACCATGTATAGTAAGCAGTTCCTGATTGGATACATACCTTTAATACAGCACCAACAGTTTTCCTGTGGCTTTCTATAGCAAAAGCAATTAGAGAATAGCCAGTTTCCTGTACTGAAACAGCTGTTCTTGAATGTAGAATGATTACATTACAAAGTCTAATCTGTGATAAACTCATTGCAGGTTTCCTTAAGGTGAATTGCACAGACATACTAATCAAGGATAATATTTGTCCAAATCCTCTAGAAGGTGAAGACTACCAAGTCAAAACTAATGTAGCTACATGTTTGCGTAATTCCCTGATTATCCCTTTTGATCCAAAACCAGTCATTAACATTTTGTGTTATATTTACTTGAAGTATAGAAATAAACAAAAAGAAAGCACGGGTAGCAGTCTTGACTATGACCTTCCAGAGAAGGTAATATACACTAAAATTCATGTGTAAAAGGCAAAGTGAATGATGTACAATTAGTGATAAAATCTGATACCATTTGCACATTAAATTTAGAACTAGAAAATATCAACATAAATTTAGGTTTCTATTTGACAATAACGTTTAAAAAGTGTTAGAAAAGAAATTAAGGAAAATACAGATTTGAAATAAAGCTGTTTTTAAATGAGCATATTTCAAGTAAATTACATCTTGGCAGAAAGATGTTTAAAGAAGACTCAAATTTTTCAGAATTTTGTTACCGAATGACTAATGTTATTTTTCAGTAATCAAAGATACTGTTTTAAATTAACTTCATTTTAAATTAACATAATCTAAAACATAACATAAAGAATCAAGAGGTCCATATCATATTTCAAACAGATCTTCAGCATCTTTAAGCAGATGTTTAGCTCATGCACTTGCATAAAATTTGTGGTATTATACTCTAAAACTCTTTAAAAAAAGTAAATCTCTGGAATTTTTTACTTTTTTTTTTCTAGAATCACTATAGTATTTGTAGCTGTGAGGCAAGTCTTAGCCCACTTGGAGTCACTGAAAACCATCATAAAACATCATCACTCCATTGACTAGCATGAAGATTTCATGTATAGTCTCCAAAATAACATAAATAATGTTAGAGAGATTCTGATGTATGCACATCTAGAAACTTAGTGTCTGCACGTGACAAACTGATGCAAATTGTCATTGAAAACAAAAAATAAAAAGAAATGCAATGATAGCATGTCTAACCGTGAGTGATTCTTCAAAGGAAGAACTTCTGTGTCTCAGAAGTCATTAAACGAATACAGGAGGAACAGTTTACTAAAGAATTCAAATGAGTAGACTTAGGGAATCCAGAGATTAATTACTCAAGAGATAAATTACATTGTATGGAGACTTTCAATTATAGATCACTGAATCAAATTCAGTGGAAGAAGGCACCAACAGAGAGGTGTTCATAGATCTGGGTAACATAAGCAGATAACATTACTTTATTATAGTAGAGTGTGCCAAATCCAAACAAACAAACGTATTATTTTCCCAACGTGGAAGACAGTTACTTTTTACATTTTTCAGAATCAAGTCCACAGAGCACTTCTTGTCCAACAAAGCAAAGAACAGGTGTGAGACCTCCTGCTTCCATTTGTCCTGTAAATAACTGGGGGAAGGAGAGTTAACTTGAGGGTTTTTTTTTTTGACTCAGTCTGGTTGCTTTTATAAAGATTGTTATCTCCTAGTCTGTTTTTCAGCAGGTTTTCAAAGACGCTCAAATACTGTAACAAGGAGGCATTTCCCACATGCTGCTCACAGGATGGACTACATGGACTTTGAGGATGATAGCCGTGGATGGCGGTTTGATATGGACATGGTGATAATCTACATTTATTCAGTCAACTGGGTAATAGGATTTATTGTGTTCTGTTTTCTTTGTTATTTCTTTTTCCCTTTTTAGTCTGCAGTAATCAGTTAAGGAAGACAGCAGTCATGTCAACCACAATAATGTGAACAGAAAAAACTTGAAGGCAAAATGTTTGATATTGAGTGTTTTTCATTCAGAATTGTAATAGATTGCATCAAGCATGCTGTGAGGCTATTTGATACTTCTTCTATGTGTGACAAAGTACTAGAGTTTGGTTCCAAATATAACATGAAATCCAGATCATACTTCCTTCAGTGGGAGTTTTGCCATTATTTTGATGGGAAGAGGATTTATCCCTAATGTATAAAAGAATTACTCTGTAGAAATATACAGTACTGCTTGTTCTTAGGGGAGTTCTGTGTACTGCACAAAATATGATCCACAGAGTCATTCTGGGGTTTGACTCTGTGTTGACACACTTTGCGCGCTCATTGGTGTTTCAATTCCTTATACATAAAAGCCACAAATATGCTTCCCATTTATAGTCAGATCTTTTGGGAAAAGGAGATTATAAGCACTGCAGTGCTGCATCATGCATTATATGGACATTCATGAGAGCTATTTCAATGGCATACTCCAAATCCAGGAAAATTTTGACAATTGATAGACCTGTCAACATTCTGCTGTGGAGATGTGCTGTACTCAGTGCCTGAAATTTTGAGCCTGTTAACCAAAAGGAGAAATGATACTGCAGTCTGCTGACAGTTCATCTTTTCAGCAAATGGCAATTAGAAGGAATCAACTAACAAGCTCAAGTTTTGTGCATTAATTGGACCGTTTTTGTGCAGATTCCCAGAGCAGCTTCTTACCCATCCAGATGAGTGTGTTTCGATCCAGCAAGACAGCTAATGGAGAGCAAGCAGCAGGCCTGCTGGCTAAGATGCTGTGAGAAACTAACCCCAGTAAATGCTGGAGAAAGAAGCATTCTCTATTGTAAGAAATGACTATCATTATGAAATTGCTGTAACAATTTGGGGATTCTCTCAAGTGTGGGCTCACCTGGACCGTGTGTCTCCAGGGAGATCACATAAGAGGACGCAGTGTTTATTTGCACCTTTCATGTGAAACAATTCTGAAGCACTTTATAGTTATTCTATGTATAGATTGCTGAGTTAGATTACCAAACTGCAGCCAGTTCAGCAATCATTCCATACTTGCTGCTTTACACAGTATTTTCAAATGAAAGTGAAAGAGCGTCCATTAAATTATGAAAAGGATATTAGAAACTGTCATGGGCAGCAGGTGCTGAAGGATGGTACAGGGTAGTTCAGGGGCTTACTTTTCAAGAAGGTACAAGGAAGTTTTTGTTTCTAAGGGCATGACCCTGTGAAGCATACTGTGGTTTCATCTAAAAGAGCATGTGAGTATATGAATGTAGTCCCTCTGATATCAGGATTTGTGTGGGAGACCTGTGGTTTTTCAGTAGGTGGTGTACTCCCGTGTTCTAGCAGAGAACAAGGAGAAATGTGTTGTGGAAGGTGCCATCTGCCAAATGTGATGGAATGGAATGAATGCAGGGGTTTTATTAAGCATGTGTGTTTATGCATCTTTGCTGGAGCAGGGCCAGCATGGTCAGTCAGGACCAGAAACTTTCACTTAATCTGAAAAACAGCAGTAAACAGCTACTAATATTTAGTTTTCTTACAGGCTGCATAAAATAATACCTTTGAGAATATATGTGTAGAATTGAAAATTACAAGTCTAACTACACTGATTGAACTAAATAATTTTTGCCATCGTTTTTTAATATATGCAAATCTAAGGGGATATAATAATTGAAATTGACCGTCACCATGTCATCATGGTGGTGGCAGAAAGGCATTTTTTGTAATTACAGTGTATCTAGTTACTTTGTCTCTACCTAAAGATGATTGGCTCTATTACTGAGGCCATTAGGCATAACATTTTAAAAGCTTTTAAGGTTATAGTAAACCACTTGGTGAATTTCCTTCTTTAGTTTGATACAAAGAAGTCTTTTAAAAGCTAGGGTTTTTAGATCATAGGCTTATGTTTTGCTACATGCAGATGGGTAGCTCTGTATGCTCAAATATTATCAATAATTTTAAACATTTTTCTTATCTGTGCCAGGACTGGGATTCTAACTGCAATTTTCATTTGTCTCTCTAATCTTACGAATTTACTGCTCCTATCTCAGCAAAGAGAGGAACTGATTCACCTGTAAAGCCAAATTTTCTTCTACCTTTTGATCTCAAAAATACTAGAAGATATCATGAAAAATTACTTTAACTTACCTGACATAGTCTGAAATTCCAATAGTAATGTAAAGTTATTTAACCAGGGTTATCTGATAAAGCAATATCCTTAAATAAATACTCCAAAATATGTTGAGACATAAGAAACATAATATAAGTACTAACTATTTATGTAAGAGAGAATTACTTACATCATTTTTAGTAGCATGTTACCATGGTTTTATTCTGAAAAAGGCCACAAAAGGAGAGTAAAAAAATCCAGTGTAATATTGGCCCCTTTTGTACATTTACAGCATACAACATGACTGACAGTGGCTGCATTTTCCCAAGTTTAGTAGGAATGACAATTTTGTATGGCATTTCTAACTGTGTAGCTCTGCCTTTCTTCAACGCCTAATCAATAAACTGTTTCTTGGACTATACTGTTTTACTTTATATTGGCTGTCATTAATTGCAGGGGACAATTAGATCTAAAACATTACAAATGTACATAACGAATGCTGTTGCAACTCTGAGAGACATTCTCCATAGGAAAATAACTTTAAAAGGTATAGAGTGGAGATTTTTTTTTTTTTGTCCTTTATTGCTTTTTTGAGATACATACTTTTTTAAAGCTATAATAACAATTCAAAGTCTCAAATTTGGTTTTACTTGAAGTCTGCCTGTAAAATGCTGTTGATATCTGTGGGAGCAAGAGCAGATCCTTTGTAAGTAATTTTCTGGTTAAATTATCCTGCTCTGCAAGCTTGTCTTTCTTATCTACAATAATATTAAAATGTTTGCAATAAAATTTGAGTTGTTTCTAATATTTTGCAGTCATTTCACTAGATTTTGCTTGGTGGAATTAAAGTTTATTATTTTTTTCAATCAATGTCTTGTTTGTGATCCTATCTATTCTGTTTCTGCTTGGGATGCAGCTAAGGTTTGTTGAATTTTTTACTACTGTGAGTTACTCTTTTCATACTAGCAGCCTTTTAGTTATTTCAGTGCTTTCCAGGAAACAGTCAGCTTTTGTCAGAAATTATCTTGGGGCAGGGTGTGGATCTTAACACATTCTGGTAATTAAGAATACTCAGTGCTAGTGCTGTTAGTTCAGACCAATTAACTGTTGAAGGCAGCAGAAATTGAGGACAAGACTAATTTTGGCTTTGACAGGCAAAGTGACTTTGTGCACACTCAGAAGTGTATGAGCTTTAATAAGGCCAAGTGCAGAGTCCTTCACTTGGGGTATAAAAACCCCAAGCATCGCTATAGGCTCGGGGAAGAGTGGCTGGAGAGCTGCCTGGCGGAGAAGGACCTGGGGGTCTTGGTTGACTACCGGCTTGATATGAGCCAGCAGTGTGCCCAGGTGGCCAAAAAGGCCAATGGGATACTGGCGTGTATCAAGAATAGTGTGACCAGCAGGAACAGGGAAGTGATCCTGCCCCTGTACTCGGCACTGGTGAGGCCGCACCTGGAATATTGTGTCCAGTTTTGGGCCCCTCGCTTTAAGAGAGATCTTGAGCTCCTGGAGCGAGTCCAAAGAAGGGCGACTAAACTGGTCAAGGGGCTGGACAAT